CCAACAAGTCCGTAGGGTTCCTCCTGTCTTGAGGCTCACCCCCTCCCCACTAGGATAGCAAGTTTGTAATGTCAGACCTTGTTCTTTTACATGTGTGCTGGTGTCTCCTTCCTTGCTGGGGAAGCACCTTCATTACAGGCTGAGCCGTCTCTCTGGCCCTGTGTTTAGACTTTAGAAAACACTTTTGCCCTTCTTATTTGATCTTCACAACAACACAATCCAAGTAGACAGAACAGACATTATTTACGTGAGCGGCCTATGTTCTAAAGCAAAGATGGGCCTTGACGCAAGGTCTAATGATGTTTGCCTTCTGTTTCTTGGTTTCCTTTCCCTATGGATGGGTTTGGGGGAAATGAGCCCTGTTGGCATTAAGAACTTGAGGACAAAGCTAAAGATGGAATGGACTTGGGGGGGGTGGAGTGATGTTTCATCCCCTTTGATGACAGGAATATGGTTATTAAATGGAAAGCGCTAGGGGCTTAGTTTTTTTCTTAATTGATGTGTTCCACCCCCTTACTCCCCCAGCACGGAACAGCAAGGAAACAAAATCCTAGGCAAACAAAATCCACTGTGCTGGTATAAGTTCAATGCAGTGTTTGCCGGCTTGAGAAAACACAGTTTTAGTCTTTGATAGGGTAACCAAAATTGCATATGATGTATTTAGACCTTTCCTGCTGCTGCCTCTTTGAGCCCCTAGAGGTTTCTCTGCATTGTTGCAAACCCCCACGCCCGTGCTTACAGGTGGCATTTTCTCCTGAGTGCCCATTGCAGGGCTTGTGCTGTTTGTACTGCTTTGGCTCACAATGGAGAAAGTCAAGGCAGCATTTTCCAGGTCTGCTCAGTGAGGTCCAATGACTGGTCTGTGAAAATTAAGGGTTTAAAACTTTACTGGCTGGCAACTAGGCAGAATACTTTTATACCTGTTCTGTGTATTCACATGTATGCATGTTTATGTGGACACACAGACATGTGGAGGTTAGATGACAAACAAAGGTAGGTTTTGTTTCTCAGGCACTGTTCACTGGCTTTCTTTTTTTTTTCTGGGACAGGGTCCCTCAGTGGCTTTGAACTTGCCAACTGTGATAGCCTGACTGTCTCCTCAACACTGGGATTATGTACCAGACTACCTCACTTTACTTTTTCAAAAAATTTATTTTATATGTGCATTGGTGTGAAAGTGTCAGATCCTCTGTAACTGGAGTTACAGTTGTAAGCTGCCATGCGGGTACTGGGAATTGAACCTAGGCCCCTTGGATTAGCAGCCAGCCCCACTTTACTATTTTTTTTTAAAAAACATGAGTTCTGGGGACTGAGCACCAGCAGAGCTTCTTCCTCAGCCCGACAGCTTGGTTATTTTGTTATTTCAGTTTGTTTGTTTGTTTCAGACAGACTCTTGCTGTGTAGACCAGACTGGTCTGGAACTTGCAGGAATCTGGAGCCATGGCCTGCTCAGTGCTAGAACAGACATGCATGCCTAGCATTGCAGTGTAGCTGCATCTTGCTTTGCCAGGGACCTTGTTGTGGTGGTCACACCCTTTGGGCGAGGTTTCAGGTGCAAATGTGACCCTTTATAAGATAGAGGTGGGGCTGGCTCTCTCAGGTTGCTGAGAGCATTTGAAGGGTAGAGACTTCATCTTCTGGTTATTTACTCTTATCTGAGTAAGAGCTTCCCTAATAAATTCCTATTTATCATTTATCTTGGGGTCTGGTGGACTCATTTAAACCTCATCTTCATTGCAGTTTGTTAATATCTAACATTTATTGCATTATATCTGGATAATATGTGATAGACATTTACATATAGTTTAGCTGTTTGATTTGACTTGTGGTTTTTAGGAGGAGGTTCCACTATACAGTGCAGGTTGACCTGGAACTCATGACAGTCCCTCTGACTCAGTCTCACAAGTGCAAATATTTTATAGGCATGTGTCACCACTTACTACCTTACTATGCTGTTACTGGGAGTTTCTGAGTAAGGAACTGACACTGTGATGCATAACACAGATACCATTGTAATGCCATGGCAATGGCTTACACATTGATAGCGCGTCATCATCAAAAGTCTTTCTGGTTTCCAGGGCTCTAGTGCAATATCTGCATTAAAATATAGGGCTTTCTTTTTGTTTTAAACATTTAATAGTGCACAGGGAGATGGCTAAGTGGGCTTAAAAAAAAAAAAAAAAACCTTGCTCCAAAAGTCTTATGACCTGAGTTCCATCCTTGGAACCTATACAAACATACATACAAAGCCTTGTGCTGCTTAGCAACAGAAATACCCAAAGATACTGCTTCAACAGGCGAGAAAGACTCATCCTAAATGTGGGCAGCACCACTGGATGTGCTGGGGCTCGGGACTGAATGTAGAAACTATGCTGAGTACCATCACTCACCTGTCTGCTTCCTGGCTGTGGACGACATGTTACCAACTGTCTCACTGATGCCACCACACTGTCATCACTGTTTTACCTGAGCAATGTATACCTTCTCTTTTCTTAGTCAAGACATCTTTAGACTTATTCATTTTATTTCATGTCTATGTCTGGGTGTCATGTGTGCCTGGTGCCCTTGGAGGTCAGAAGAGGGTGTCAGAGTTCCTGAACCTGCAGTTACAACAGGGCATGAGCTGTCCTGTGGGTACTGGGAATGAAACCCATGTCTTCTATAAGAGCAACAAGAGCTCTTAACCACCGAGACATTTTCCACCCTTCATTTTTTAAAGTTGTTTTTGTAAAGTATTTTGATCACAGCAAAGAGAAAGTGAGCGATGCAGCCCAGCAGGCCTGGCACACAGTATATAGCCCAGAGTGGCCATAACTGCTAGCAACCACCTGTCTCAGTCCCCAAATTTGGGGATTGCAGATGTGTGCCACTATGCTTGGCTTCATTTGGCTTTTAAAAGTGTGTGTGTGTGTGTGTGTGTGTGTGTGTGTGTGTGTGTGTGTGTGTTATGTACATGCAGATACCTGCAGAAGTCAGGAATGGATGTCGGATTTCCAAGAATTGAAGTTACAGGTGGTTGTGAGCCCTCTAAGGTGGGTGCTCAGAGCCAAAGTCAGGTCCTCTGCAAGAATTGGTGGGTGACCTTAACTGCAGAACCATCTCTCCAGCCCCTACTTTCTTAAAGGGCCGGATCAAACCAGAGTTTCCTGATTTGGGTGCAAGATTTGAACCCAGGCCCTTTCACACACTAACCTGTACTTAATCCCTGGTCTAACCTCCAGAAGGTTCACAACCAACTGTAACTAGATCCAGATAATTTGACACCTTCTTCTGGTTACTTCAGGAACCCACACATGTGGCACATACACAGACTGGAGGCAGGAGCAGATGCAGAGGCCATGGAGGAATGTTGCTTACTGGCTTGCTCCCCATAGCTTGCTCAGCCTGCTTTCTTATAGAATCCAAGACCACCACCCAGGGCTGGGCCCATTCACAGTGGGCTGGGCCCTCCACCATCAATCACTAATTAAGAAAATGCCTTACAGGCTTGCCTACAGCCTGATCTTATGGAGGCATTTTATTAATTGAGGTCCCTCCTCTCAGATGACTTTAGCTTGGGTCAAGTTGACATAAAACTAGCCAGCACACTGTCTAATGTGGTTAAAAGTATTCAATGGAAACAGTAATTTGAAAGATCATTAAAAGGCTGTTTATTGATACTCTGACTTGAATATAAGTATTGGACCCCCCCTTTTAAAATTCAAGACAAGCCTATAGGCTACTGTAGACTAGCAGTTCAACCTCAAAGCCTCAAAGTCTATGTACTTTCTCGTAGGTACTTCAGTTATAATTTCATGTAAGATTTTTTTTTTGTAAATTTGAATTTTATGCATATGGTGTTTTGCCTGCATTTGTCTATGCACCACGTGCATGAAGTGTCTGTGAAGGCCAGAAAAGGGAATCTGATTCCTCGGAACTGGGGCTAGTTGTAAACCACCACCATGTGGTGCTGGGACCTGAAATTGAGTTCTCTGGAAGAGCAGTCAGTGCTCTTCACAGACTAGCCCAGGCTGATCTCAAATTTGTGTTGCCACTGAGGATGGCCTTGAACTTCTGATCCATCTGCAGCCGCTTCCCAAATTCTAGGATTACAGATGTAAAGCAACATGCTCAGTGTGTACGAGTCTAGGGATCAAGCCTGGGACTTTGGCCTTGCAAAGCAGTTTATTGTTTCAAATTTGAACTCTGAGATAAAACCATAGAAGCTTAGTGGCAGAACCACGATTAGGATTTTGGATATCTAATAGTGTCAAACTTCTGGACCATCCAGGAAGCACTAATACACTTGTCACTCTAACCTTGCTCTAGGGCTAGGGTCACACCCTAGCTCCCCCCCATCTCCACCACTTGGGGGGCTCACAGGCACTTCTCCCCGCACCTTTCACCTCTCTCCGCAGCGCTCGCCGCCCCCGGCAGGGGGCGCTGGCGCACGCAGGCTCCGCGGCCCCGCCCCCGGGCAACCGTCGATTGGGCCGGCGCGTGATGTCACGCCGGTTTAGCCAAACAAATGGGTTTCGGGGCGAGCGTTGGGCTCCGCCGCACAGCGCTGAGCTCCTGGTCCGCCTCAGTCTTGGGGAGCGAGTCAGGCCTGCCGCCGCCGCCGCATCGGGCTGCCGCAGCCCCGGGCCAGGCCCCGGCCGGGCTGAAGCACAGGTGGGCCGGGCGAGGGCGCGGGGCGCAGGGCGCGAGGCGGGCGGACACCGTGGCGGCTCCCGCTGCTCCCCGCGGCGGGGCCGGGCGTTGGGGGCGGGGACCGCGGGGCGCCGCGCTCGGGGTGCTGCTGCCGCGTCCTCCTGGGCGCCGTCCGCGCGGCCTGGACCCCGAGGTCGTGCGCCCGCCAGGTCCCTGGGCCCTGAGGCGGACGACCCGAGCTAGGCCGCCGCGGGTGAGCTGCGTGCGGGATGCGGGGTTACGGGGTGGGGGCTCCCAGCGCAGGTGAGCGGCGCGTCTCCTCCACCCTCCCCGGGGCCCTGGCGTGAGAGCCTGCGGCGGTGAGGTCACCGTTCCGAGGCTCGATGTCTGCCTGTGATGTCAGGGCTCTACGGAGAGACCGTGATGTCACAGCAGGCCCCGAGTGGCGACCTTGGCGCGCGGAAGGGCTGGGAGGACCGGCGGGGAGAAAAAGGAAGTTCAGTCCTAGCAGATTTGAACCGAAATCGTGGTATCTCGGCTTCGTACAGTTTGAATGTAATAATTGTCAGGTGCTTAAACTTCTTTCCAGGAAGCATCGTTAGTACAGTTTAAGGATATTTGGTTTAGAAAAAGGGAAATCGTGGGGGATCTTGAGGGTGGGGTGGGGAATGGGCATTGGGGTGTTCACTGTTAAGTGCATTTCAGGAAGCTAAACTCAGTTTGATGGTTTGATAACAGCAGTTGCTGGGGAGGGGTGAGCCGGGGCAGAACCAACTGGAGAGCTGATAATTCATTTGGCTTTATTTACTTTTTTTTTTTTGGCTACTGATTTGCTTGTTAGCGTTTTTTGTTAGCGAATGGCCATGGCAAGCAGCTCTTAAAGGAACTTTGTCTTGTAAAGAGGGGGTTGAGTCAGTCCAACATTCTATTTAAAAAATAGCCACCCGAGGATTTAATTTATCTAGGTGTTTCCACTCCATTCCAACCCCTTCCATCAAGGATATTTGGAGGTTTTCTGTGAGCAACAAACCTTTTCTTTGCATTTTTGTTTGTTTGTTTGTTTAAACCAAGACTGGGCTATAACTTAATATAATAACACATCTGAAGACTATTTTTTAGGACAGGTAACTAAAATTTTGTCGGTAGTGCTTTTGAATGTAAAGTTATACATTTTAGCAGGTGATTTTGTGAATGTTTTGCATTAGGCTTTCAGTAGATAGTAGACCTGCATAAGAAGGAGGTGTGCTAAACTAACCTGCTTGGGATAGTCCATCGAACCAGTCCTTTCATCCTGTCTTCTTCTAGAATCAAGTTCAAAAGGTAGTGGACTTAAAACCAAAGCACACTTAAAATTGGGGTTTCAGCAGGAACCCTTCTTAGGAACTGTCCTTGCCTCCTTGTGGATAGTTTCTTGTAATAGTAGGGTTCCCTCCCCCAATACTTCCTGCTTCCCATTTGTTCTCCAAATATTTGCATTTCATAAGCAAATATATCTTTTTTAATAACTTTTTTTTTTTTTTGACAGTGTCTCACTCTAGCTCTGAGCAGCCATAGTTCTTGCTGTGTAGCCCTTGAACCCTCAGCAAGTACTGCCTATCTCTGGTGTGCTGGGATTACCTGTGTGTGCCATCACACCTGGCTCCTTGAAGACTTGTAATGTCTTTCTGGATTTTGCATCAGTATGCAGAGGAAATGCTAATTAACACAGGAAATGAAAAAACTATCTCTTATAGTGTGTGTGTGTGTCCGTGTGTCCTGAGATTCAAGTCCAGGGTCTCCTGCATGGGTACTAGCACTGAGCTGCTCAGGCCCTTGCTGTGGGATTTGATGGGAAGTTCTCAAGACAAGACTTCTCACTAATCTTATTTTCTCCTCACCAAATCTTGATAATTCAGTAGCCACTGTATGTATGTATTGTTAAACAGAATTTTTACTTCTAAAGAAATTAGAAATTGTATAGTAATAATGCCCAATTAAGGCTCTTACAATAAAATTTGAGTACTTTGGAACACCAGTGACTAACTTGGAACTGCTGATATGGGGGTGGGACAGGTGGGTGGTAATCAACCTACTGTTTAGGATAAAAGAATGGTCTCACAGGGGATATGTTCCAAAGTTGGATGTGATACTAAAAGGGACACCTACAGGGAGTCATTGCTAAGCAGTGGTGGCCTCCATGGCTCTCTGTCAGTGGTTCTCAACCTTCCTAATGCTTTAACCCAACAGTTCCTCATGTTGTGCTGACCCTTAACATGAAGTTATTTCTTTGCTCCTTCACAACTATACTTTTGCTGCTGTTATGAATTGTAAATATCTGGATATGCTATCCCTGTGAAAGGGGTTGAGACAGGTTGAGAGCCACTGCTCTATGTAAATTGACTGTGCTAATATAAATGGGAAGGGATGGAAGTCAATCTCATTGGGAATTGAAACCCTGTAGTGGATGGCAATAGCTGTGCCTGGCAATGCTCATCCACCTTACTGCCTATCTTGCTTTGGTTTTAGTTTTCATTTTTACATGGAAAAAGAAGAGTTAATAGGTGGAAAATGAAAGTCTTCCTGTGTTCTGATGTTACTAAGAAACAATGGTGGGCATAAGAAAGCTGCTTGAATGTTTCATTGCATAACAAGCCTTAACTGTGGAACATTTGTATAACCTGCTTCTACTTTGGATGCTTCTCACCCACGCCTTGCAGTTTTGGGTCTAGGAAGCAGCTTTTACTTCTTAAATGGCTCTATGGAAATTGGAGATTAAGCTTATTTTAAGATATTTTGTTATTTAATTCACTTATAGAATTTAAAGGGACTGAAGCAGTCATTAGTAATGTGGTATCTTTCTGATGGATAAGGCAAAAATTGGTGTAGTATTAGATAGAATCCCTTAGGATATGCTTATTGGGTCAGTTATTTTACTAACATGCAGAATTTAAAATTTTATAAACATTTTCTACTTTGTTTTCCAAACTTAGTGTGTGTTCACCTAATTTAATTTCTGCAGTATTGGAATTCCATTGAACTTTACTCTTGTCTTAATATTTGTTGGTAGAACATACTTATCTTGAGAGACTTCATTTAGAGCTACTTTCCAAAATGTACGGCTGTTTAAAACCAGATACTAGGGGTAAACGACTATGGTGTGATGAATGCCTTCCTTGTTAGGTCATTTGTGACCTGCAGAATTCAGCAAGTACATAATCTGCATGCTGTCCTCTGACAGCAACAACAGAAAAGAGCAGATTAGCTCTGATGCACTACAGGTCATTTGGAAATGGATTTCTGTCAGCCCCTTGTCTAGTTTATCTTCTCTACTTACATTGTTTATGGGATTTTGAAGCAGATGAGCCTACTGTATCATCCAGGACGGAGTTAGTAATTAAAATGTATGTGATTCTCAGTGTTTATTAAAATTATTTAACCTTTCAGTTTTCATCTTCTAGTTACTGCTACAGAGGACTCTACTTGAACATCCCGTTATCAATATTTAGCTTCACAACCTAGCTTGTCCCTTTCCTATCTAATCACAGTGTGTTTGTGACTCCAGGCCTGTGCTAGTGTGCCTGTAGAGAGCATGTCAGCCAGCAGACACTTGGAGCATCTTTGTGCCAGATAGTGCGGCACATGATGCAATGCTGACTGCATATTCTTACCTTTTCTCTTTGTTTAGTATGCGCGTGTGCGCGCATGTGCACGTGTGCGTGTGCGCACTCCCACACACAATAATGCACCCTTCTGTATGGGAAGATGTGTGGAGACCAGATTTCAATGTCAGGATGCCTCACTCAGTCATTTCTCCACCCTAATCTTTCAGACACAAACCGAGGATCACTGCTTTATCTAGATCTGCTTGGCTAGTGAGTCCACGGGATCCAATGGTTTGTCCTTCTCCCAGGTACTGGGAATAAGACGTGTGCCACAATGTTCAGCTTTACATGGGTTCTGGGGATCTGAACTCAGGGCTTCAGACTTGTATAGCAAGCACTTTACTCCTCATCCACTGAGCTGTGTCTCCAGGCCTTTATCCTTTGCTTTAACATTCATTTACCAGAGAGAGCATTGAGTCTGAGGGATTAGGATCAGACTGTTGACTACTGTTGTTACGCTTGGCTGGTCAGGTGTTTCATCCAGATTGTTCTTTTATGGAGGTATTAGAAACTCAGGTAGAAAGAAGAGGGAGTACGATATCCTAGCCTCAGACAAAGGACTTATGTCATTACTTCACCAAGTCGTATTGTCCTAGAATAAATGGGAAGGGTAAGTGCCTAAGGCTAGAACTAGTCTGCATGGACAATCAAAATTCAGTAGTCAGAGGGCCATCAAACATCTGTTCTCTTTCCCCCTTTTCTTCCTTCCCTTCAATGTTTGGCTTTTTGAGACAGAGTATTACCATGTAGTTCAGGCTGGCCTTAAACTCGAGTCTCCCCCTTCAGCCTTCCGAGGTCTGAAGAGTCTAGTCATTACAGAAGAAAACATTTGAATGTTGAATACCTAAATACCACCATCTAGATTCTGTAAGTCTGTAGTATTCCATGAAATAGTTACCTGATTTTGTTTTACTACCTGCTCATTTCCCTCCTTTCATCAGCCAGTCTTACATTTTTTTTTTGGTATTTTTATAGTACATGTACATACTTCAGAATACTTAGTATTTACTTAATTTTAGCCAACATTTATAGTAAAATGTACAAACCTATGTCTACATCTTCATGTAAGCTGTGTATCCTGTTAGGATCACAGAACATTACTGTCACCACAGAAAGTCAATTTAAGTGGCTTTTAATCCTTTGCTGTATTCCATTCATCAGTTTCTTCTGAACGTCTGTTTCAAAGACCCTCTTACCTTTTTCCTTAGTGCACAACTGGGCAGGGTTATGCTGGGTGTCAAGGACAGACAGCGAACACTCAGGCGATGGAAGCAGAGCACTTCATGGAAGAGGCTTTGAGACCTGTGTGTCCTGTGAGGGGGTCAGAAGGCCCCCTGAGCTTCCTGGCCTGTGGAGTGCAGAGCTTCACTTCTGTGAAAGAACCTTGCTGAGGTGTTTTGTTTTAGCAGTCCTGAGAGGGGGTGGAGAGTGGCATCTGGAAGCAGTATCTGCAAATGTGGGGATGGCTTTGGGGTTGGGGGCAGGCCAGAGGGTCTAACAGTTCTGGGAGCGGGCTGCTGGGAGAGGAACAGGTGGAAGTGGGGAGTGTGTTGGAAACTAAGGGCTGGCAGTCTGAGTTTCAGGTGGACAGAACTGGGCAGATTTCTGCTTGTGCCCTTTGTGCTTCTTGGAAAACCCTTGCTGAGCAGTAGAGTGTAGCAGAAGCACCTATGCAAACTGCTGACAATGCATGTGGCCTCTCTTGACTACTTACAGTCATGTGATGGTAACAAAAGCAAGTTATGCAGGAGAGTTCATAATGGAAAGGGTCGGGGTGAAGAGCAGGACACAGTTCAGACGGAGCCTGTTGTAAACCAAGAGATATTCAGTAGAGAGCACGCAGGGTGTAGCCAGGTGAACTTTGGATAAAGAGATTAGTGTAGGTCAATGGATGCCAGGTGCTGTTCATTGAGACAGTAATCCTGAAG